AAAGAAAAAAGAAAAAAAAAAGAGCTAAATACATCTGTACAGCTGTCTCTTACTACTTTTGTTTTGAAGTTGTATTGTACTAAGGAGAAACATAACTTTCTGTTATGGCTACTTTCTACTTTATTTTCCAAAGAATGTAATGGAGTTTGGTCACTGGAACTGTCCTTATTGTTTTAAGGAGTCAAGGCAGAATAGCACTGTGGAAGAAGACTCTGAAGGTGACAATGATTCTGAAGAATTTTACTATGGAGGACAGGTAAGTAAACCTGTGCCCTGGTATCCAGTCTTGGAGTTCTCCTGGTCATACTTGTGTTAGCGGAAGAGCCCTAGAAGTTGTTCACTGTCCAATAGTAAGTAGAAAATCTGAATAACTTGTTTCTTGTTTTTCTATGTATTTTCAGAAATTAAGATTGTTTTTGCAAATCTCTTGATTGAAGTAATTCATTTACATTGAAGTTGCCTTAGTTAATGATAGAGATGTTGTACATTACATTGATTGTGATTATCTTTTGGACTTTCACATTAATTGCTTTCTTTATTGTTAATGTTGTGGCTAGCATGCAAGGAAATGGCTTCCACTGTGACACTGCCATACAGTGTTTTCTCTTATCATTCTCCTTGCCCACTGTCTCCTCTTCCACTTCCCTAACCGTGTTACCACCCTTCTTTCCTCTTGAAGTCCCTCATTAATTTCACATCCTACATACCCTGCCCACCACAAATCTAGATTTCACCTATGAGTGAAAACTGTCTTTCTAACAGACACAATAAATAGTTGTTATTTTTATTTAAATTTTTGTTTTTTGACACTTTGATACATGAGGACTGTATTTACATCATTTCTATTCCTCCCTCTTCAATGTCTCCTGTGCACAACCCACCCTTTCTACTCTTTCTATAACTATTACTGTCACACACACACACGCACACACACACACATGCACACACACACACACACACACACACACACACACAACCTACTGAGCCCATTCAGCATTCGTCTTATGTACATGTGTTTAGGGCTGACCAAAGAAGAAATGTTTTTAAATGATGCACCTCTAAATAAATCATAGATTCTTAGTTTTAGATGGAAGATGATTAACTTTTATAAATTTTTATTGTTTCTTATTATTGAGCAACCTTATTACTTAGTTTTATTTATCATTTTGAAAAATTAATATGAGGAAATGTCACTATTTAAATATGTGCAAATAACTTGGTTAATGTATGTGCTTTATAGCTTGTGTATTATGACGGAGGTGTAATATGATAACCTTAGAGACAAAGTTAGTACAGAAGGGAATTCAAGTAACTCTATTTAGAACAAAACATCAGTAGTTGTTAACTTAGACATAAGCAAGGCAGTAGAAGCATGGGCATAATAAAACCAGGCTTCCCTCTAAAGAGTAACTGTCTAACTGTTGGGTAGCTTTCTAAGAAAATGATTCTCTAACCAATAAAGCATTTTAACATTATGCAGGAAGTTCTTCCCAGCTTGATTTTTGTTTATATCACTCACTTATAGAGGGGAACTTGGTGCTTTTTCTTCTGTTCTAGATTTTCATTCTAAAAGTTTTCCAGAATAGTTACCGGACATTCACTTCTTCTTAGCATTCACTTTTTTTTTTTTTTTTTTGTATCAAAGTATTCTCATTTAAACTTTTAAACATGATGAATTTGCCTAGCAGTTTGGCAGCCTAGGAACATTTTGCAGATGCTGTTGAAGGGAAGGCTGTCTGTGTTTACTGTTCCTCCTCACCATTTTGGCTCACCCCTGTCGCAGGTGAGCTATGATGGGGAACTGCACAAGCACCCTCAGCTGGAAGCTGACCTGTCAGCTGTGAGAGAGCTTTACGGACCACATGCAGTTTCTCTCAGGTAAGTAAATGCCTTCCTGAATGAAAAATAAAACTGTTTGGTAAGCCGTTGACATTTTCCTTTGGGGTAACTTAAATGAAAAAAAAAATCTGTGATCAATTATATTTGGAAGTGTTTGAGAGATTCTATTATGTTTCTACTGATACAAAGTGGTGTATTTATGACTGCTTTTTACATATTGTTTAAACATTATATTGATTGCATTAAATAAATCATTTTATTTTAGAGAGTTAGTTTTAAAAAGTAGTATCCTTGAAAAGTGTAATTAGCTGGGCATGGTGGCACATACTTTTAATCGCAGCACTTGGGAGGCATTCTGTGAAGTTGAGGACAGCTTGGTCTATGGAGGGAGTTCCAGGCCAGCTGGGGCTACAGGGAGACCCTGTCTCAAAAAACAAAACAAAACAAAAAACCAATAAAAAGTATAACTATAGGTATGGCAGCACACACTTGTAATCCTAGCACTTGGGAAGCTGAGACAGGAGGACTGTCAGTTTGAGGCCAGGCTGGACTATATAGGAAGCTCTTTTCTAAAAAAATGTTTCCTAATTACTTACTCAGTGACACAGAACTTCTGGTGCATAAGTCACATTGTGATATGGCACCTTAAAAAAACAAACAAAAAAAACAAACAAAAAAGCTCATTGTATACCCTAGGGGATAAAGGGAAAGAAGGAACTCAAGAGAGGTAGGACCATAGGAGAAGAGTATTAGTAAGGGGAAAGGGGGGAAATGGGGACACCTTAAGTGGGAAAACCATGATGGAGGGGTGAGACAATGTGAGAGATAAACAATGCCTAGCTAGTTTTGAAAACCAGAGAGAACCATATTACTCCTACAACCTACTGACAAAGTATACATAGCAAATCAAGAAATACATGTCTAGGTAAAGTTTATCTGAGAACAATTCTTCTTTGCCCAAGATTTTCTACATGACACACAGTAATTAAAAATACCAGACTGGTGGAACTAGCCTTCTTGGGTGTTTAACAGACATACTTTGAGGTCTATAATAATTTGGTCAGAGGGACATAAAGAACAGTTTATACTTTCCTTTTGGGTGTTTAAGGCCATACAAGGGACTATGAGATGTCTCAAAATGTCCTGTAATTGGTGGATCACTTGTCCTCTTGATCAAGAAGGCCGAGGAGACCCCACCAGATGGACTTGAACCAGTGTCCAGTCTATAAAGAGGAGGGTCAACACAGAGGAATCATTTCCTCCATGCTTCCAAGCAAAGCCAACCATGGTCGAGTTCCACATAGGTGGAACTGGTAAAAGAACCGAAGCCCATGTGACCCCTGAGGAACAGATCCTCAAATGACATTAAGAGTAAAAATAAATCAGTTTTATCTGGACTAACTGTATGGCCTTAAACACCCAAAAGGAAAGTATAACCAAAGATTAAATGGGCCAACATAATTTCATAAGAGTCCATATGTATAGCTAAAGGCTACATAACAAGCAACAATGCCAGACAAACGATACTTTCTTTTGAGTTGATGGCCAGGGTGGCCAAAGGGATTCCCAGATAGTAACCCAGCATAGAACTGGGAAAATGAACAGCAGACCCCAATCTTATCCAAAGGAATATAGACAACTGATTACCGCTAGATGCAGAACAGCTGACCCTCCTAAATCAAAGACCTCTAGATAGGCTGACTAGATTCACCAGAAGGGCAAGTAGTGGGGAATGGCTGGGGGTGCCAACAACACAGCAGACATATTAGAGTATATGGGATATCAGCAGGGATATCAGAGTATAAGGGCTCTAGTGGGGGGAGGGAGGCTATGGGAGGGCACTACCTGGGATGTGGGTGCCTAAATCAATCAATCAATCAATCAATCAATCAATCAATCAATAATTCTTCAAAGCATAAAAAATTGCTCCTTAATAATTAGTAGATGTGAAAAACATTACCTTTGAAATCTACGTAATGACTTTATATCCATGCTCAGATGCCAAGGGGCTCTGAAAGTAACTGACTGTGACTAGTAATAATCAGATATATAGAGATTAGAAACACATGTGTATCATAGTGTCAACTGTATTAAAAATGAATTTTTCTGTATGACACTGTACTTTAACAATGAAATGGAGATCTTTTTAAAGTTTAAAACTTTATTTAATTTTATGTCTTATAGGGGTTATACGGAGTACAATATTGTATAACTGTATCAATTCAACGGTAAACCTAAAAATTTACAGTCAGTTTTGAAAGAGATGCATCTTAGCTCTGGAAATTGTTACTGAGTATGTTAATGCAGTTTTATGAAATGCTTCTTCTAATTATATGGTTATTAAATAAATAAGGGCTCAGTAGTTAAGAGCAGTGGCTGTTCTTGGAGGGGACCCAGATCCAGTTCCCAGCACCCACGTGATAGCTAATAACCATCTGTAACTCCAGTTCCAAGGGATTCGACACCCTCTTCTCACCTCTTTAGGTATTGCATGCATGCACAGACATATTTAGTACATGCAGGCAAAATGCTCATACACATAAAAATAAAAATAAATAAAAATTTAAAACACTTAAATGTGCACTTGTTTGAATCATATCATATTTTATTCTGTAATTTCCCAATATTTAATGATATATTTCCCAACTGCTTTTTATTCTATTAGTCTGGTGGGACCATCCCCCATCTTTATTTACTTTCTTTTTCCTCTCTCATGTATGGAAAAGCCATTTCTGTTCTTAGTCTGGCCTCTAGGAATCAGGTCTGCTTTTTTTAGAGTCTCATTCTTTACCTACAGTGTAGTCTTTAAGTTTCCATGGATTCTAGACTCCTTTCAGAGCCTCACATCAATTCTAGCCCCATTGATCCAAACCACCCAGTGGGGCCAGGCTTCCCTGGAACTTAGAACACTTGCACAAGTAGCCTGCTTGTCAAGGATTGCTCCTTGCAGGTCCCATTGGGAAGTTCAGCATCGCTCAGCTCAGGTCTCCCCAAATCTCCAATGCAGATGCCTCATTTCATGTTGTTTGCCCAGCATTGCTGTATTGGTTGTACGTCTCATGTATTTTTATTATTTGTTTGCTCCTCCCCTAGACTAAGTTCTGTGATTGTTGAGGCAGTGCCTTTTTGCTTATTTGTTTTATTTTGCTGTGGTTTGTTTTTCAATAGTTACTCTGGAATTTAATATAACATGGGGCATACATAAAATACAAGATTCATTGTGGATTCTTAACTGTTTCCCATGGGACCATCTGAAAAAAATGATACATTTATCTAGTTGTTAGTTAAAACCCATCCATGTTTTATTAAAGTGAACAAATATTTTCATTTGAGAAGTGAACACAACTTATCTTACAGTTGCCAAATACTTCATTTAGATTTCAGAAATAGTAACTCAGTGCCACCTCTAACCTAAATAAGGATTTTTGACCCCAGGTTCTGACTTCCACTTTTGGAGGTACATTAGGCCATATCTGAGCAGACCGATAGGATTATATTTAGAAAAGCAAGTTTTAGAGACTTTAAAACTTTGGCCACACAACTGTGATAATTTCACAGTCTGTGCTGTGGCTCCAGATTAAAAGCTACGCATATTAAATGCTATTAAACTGAGCGTATCAGGACAGTGGAGGCGCTATTAGTAAATTATCCAAAACTATGTTTTTTTGTTCCTGTAGTAATTGAAACCTTAAAATGGTAAATTTTAAGTGTAAAAATCTCCTGAATAAACAGGCTATGAACTATAATTTTCATGATACAACAAGAATTCAACTCCTTTTCATTCATATTTTTTGCTTAGAAGAGTGCCTTAGTATCTATCCATAACTTGTATTGTTAAAAAATTCTAAAATATATTCCCAACATTTTCTGAAATCATTATCATGTGACTATAAAAATTTTTTTCTTTACTAAGTAATTATTTAGAACCTATGGTGAATGCTGTTAGTATTTACTGTTATAATAACTTTCTTTTAATAATATTATTGATAATTATGATCTGATGAAATTACATGAATGTTTAGAATTTCAATCAAATGAGATCTCCACAGCCATAAATGGTTTGCATTTTTTCTCCCCTTGGCTATTCACTTACAACAGTTTTGATTCAGCTTATATCTTAATATAAGCCATTATTCTTGCCTTGTCTAGATGTTTTTTTTCTAGCTACAGAAAGTGATTGCTGAATAAATAATCTCCTAGAGGTGTCATGATGTGAAAGTGAATCACAGCAAACTTGTTTGATTTACTGAAAGTAAATAAAAATGAATTTGCAGTTTCTTCTGCAGTCCTGGGTCAGACACACTGGGAAATAGGTAGTTAGTTACAAGGTCTTAGGATGTTCCTGGCAGAGTTCTAAGTCTTTTGAAAGCAGACTGTTCTAATTAGCTGTTCTTTTACTTAATTGAGGCATATAAGAACTTAATGGAGTTTGAAGAACAAAAGTACCTTAATATATGCACAATAGGCTATTTGGTATCTTTTTTTTTTTTTTATGTGACATCTAATGAGAAAGGCAGCTACCAACATCTGAGTTCTTTATAAGAGAACGAAATAACTAATGCCTAGAATGAAGCAAATCCCTTCTTTATGCAGGGGAAATGCAAATATAGAAAAAAGTAATCTTACTAAAATTAGTTATGCCAGCTCAATTTGCCCTTACATCCCAAGCCAAAATAGTGGCTGTATTGAACCACAAGGATAAATATTGATGATGGTTCTGATGTGCAGTCTTTTAATGGGAGGTTAGTTTCCTGCAGGATAAATAACTTGTGGTCCTTCTAATGTATTTTATCTTGAATCATGCAGTAGCATGCATTAGTGTGCATTTCTTGTTATGAATGTAGTCCTAAAGAAAATAATGTTATTTGAAAATAATCTGAGGTGAGTAATTTTAGAAATGCGGCGAATCACAAGGCAGAAAGAGTTTTCATTCCCTTAGGAAGAAATGGACTTTGTAATTTCTCTGTGAAATGTAAAACTTTCCAGATATCCATGTTTCCCAGATAACACACCCTTTACTTATGATCATGTTGTCTTTC